TCTTGAAAATAATATTTTTTTAGAAAATATAATTGGAATGGCAAGTGATAATGCATCGGTAATGATTGGGTGTAATAATTCTTTTTATACGTTGTTACGTCCAGGGGACTCCACGGGCCTCTTTTTCTTGCAACGCGACGCGCCAACGCATAACAAACTTCCCTTCTAGTAATAATAAAAAGCAATAAATAATCCGAGCAAACCTCCTATTGTTTGGAAACTTGGACTCCAGACAATAAGAGAGCAAACGGAAATTACACTGGCGCCCGAAAAGATAAACCACGCCTAGTAATAACCCAAAATTTTTAACTTATTGTTTAAACATCCTAAACAAACCCGGATATTTCCGGGCCAGGAAGAACACCGCTCATAAAAATTAAACCAGCCGGAGCAAATAGAACTCCGGCGCCACAAGCAATTTTATTATAAACAAATAGCAAAGAGTCTAGGTGGCGTGATCGAAAACCAACACTCTCCCTTTTCCCTTCTCCGGAAAATCGGATGAGCCGACCGAGCCGAGAGATCGTCGCCGATTGGCGATTTCACGAAGTTTTCCCAACCACAACAAATAGGAACTGGCGAAGCTCGACTAAGTTTTCCGATTGAGAGTCCTCGCTTACTCAAAATTGTATAAGCCAGGACTCTCAGAACCGAAGGCAGATAGAGCCGCAGATTTTAGAAGTACCACAGCGAGTGAGTGAGTACCAGTGAGTGCAGAAAGTGAGATCCCAGAGTGAACTACTGCGCCGCAACAGCCTAGAACCTTTTATTAATCAACATCACTATCCGCAGCAAATAGTAAGTCCATATTGTAATTATTTTCATGTGGAGGTTCCACTGTTTGCGTACTTACCTCCCGACTTTGCGACTGATTTTCGGAGAAATTGAGAAAAATGGTTAAAATAAACGAATAGATAGACGCGCTCAAAAATCCAAATTTTTCGGAAGGGCTACTCACGGTGTACAACCGTCTCGGGTGGCAGCCGAATCTTTTGAAAGGGCTACTCGCGGTGTACAACCATCTCGGGTGGCAGCCAAAATTTTCGGAAGGGTTACTCGCGGTGTATAGCCGCCTCGGGTGGCAGCCGAATCTTTTGGAAGGGCTACTCGCGGTGTATAGCTATCTCGGGTGGCAGCCGAAATTTTTGGAAGGGCTACTCGCGGTGTATAGCCGTCTCGGGTGGCGTCCGAATTATTTCTTTTTTTTCCCTAAATCACGGAAACAAACAAAGCCCGCTTATCTCCGAAATATCAGTCTTAGAATCATGACACATCCAAATTTATTCCTATCATTAAATCTATCGGAACCTAAGAAATGAAACAAAACCGAATTTGTCAATTGACATAAGGAAATACATTTCTAAGATGATCTAAGTTGCGTAAACATAGATCAAAGAGGCTGGCTGCACTAAACAACTCGTATTCCCCTTCTCTCTCACACTTGCACCCTAGCTTATAGATTACTTTGTACGAAACGATTATGCGCTTCGTCATTGTATTAGTTTCAACACACTTGTATGTTAGTAATTTGCTAAGATTTCGATTTGTCTTTTTTTTAATAAATATAACTACTTTATAATGTGTGGAATCAAACTAAAGAATTATTCTTTGTTATCCTTCTTTCTATACAACCCACTCTCACTTCCTCGTTAAAATCGCTAGGTCCCGTTCTTGATAAATGAGATTTGTGTCTCAGACCTAAAAAAGGATCAACGAGTGAGTTCGCTAGACAGAGTAAGGTCGGCGTACGCAATTGACCTGTCGACGAATATAAACAAACTCGCTCGACTCTCTCACAGCGGGACTTCCGTGTCTACTGTAAAAAGAGATATGGAAAACGACGCGTTTACTGTTGCGTCACACCACAGCCCAACCGTATCCATGGGCCAGGACGTAACAACGCATTTAAAATCTAAAGTTCCAAATTTAATTATGTTAAAATGTATTTGTGTGTCATTCCAGTGCGATTATTGCAAGTAAAGCATGTGAAAAATTACCGCTAGATTGTGAACATTTAATTAGAGGAGTCGCAACTTATATTTCGGGTAGTGCAAAACGTTGTGCAATTTTTTCAGAATTTCAAGATTTCTTTAATGTACAAAAAACCAAAATTTTAAAATTATGTAATACAAAGTGGCTACTTTTACATCAATGTGTCGAAATATTACTTCAGAATTGGGATGTAGTAAAAACTTTTTCACTTTGGCTATAGTAGAAGATCACTCAAAATCTGCGGAAGATATTTTGTCATTACTAAACGATAATTCAATTAAAGCTTATTTTTTGTTTCTAAAATATTTATTAAATTTTTTAAATACTTCTAACGCTTTATATCAATTGCACAAAATTCCAATTCATAAATTATTTAATAGAAGTAATCAAATAATAATTCAAATAGCTCAAAATTTTATTATTCCCGAGGCATTGAATAACATCGCTAATTTAAACATAGATGATAAGCAAAATATTAAACCTCTGACCGATATATATGTAGGGCCGTATTGTGAAAATTTTTTAGCGGAACAATCTTTGGATAATATTGAACAAATTAAATTAAAATATTTAGACTTTTATCGAACAGTTCTTAAAGAAACAATGAAACGTATGCCGTACAATAATATCTTTTTTGAGCAGTTACAATTTTTAGAACCTAAAGTTGCACTTTATATAGAAAGTAGAAATAAATTTAAAGATTTACATTTCCTTGCCACGCAAATAAACGTAAATATTGACTGTTCAAAACTTGTTTATGAGTGGCGAATTTTATCTACAGTTTTTGACAATAATGAAAAACAAGATTTGACTTCTTTGGACACAGTTAGTACATGGAAAAAAATATTAAACTTTAAAGATGAGAATGATGAAAAAATGTTTCCTAATTTAGAATTATTAGTTGAAGTTATTCTGTCTTTATCTCATTCTAATGCTGAAGCGGAACGTATATTTTCTATTTTAACTGATGTAAAAAATAAAAAACGTAATCGATTATCTAATTTATCCATTTCGGCGATTTGTAAAATTCGATCATATATTTTCAAGCAGATAATATTAATTGTATAAATTTTGAACCTGAGTCAAGACATTTGGAATTCCATACTGCAAAATTACAAGCACATAATTAAGTTTAAAAAAATATATATATAATGTTTTTTATTAAACTTTAGTAAAAGTTTTTATAATTATTGTTTTAATAATGTTTATTTATGTTCATTAATATTTTATGTTTATGTTTTTTTTTTATTTTTAGTTTATGGTGTGCAATATATTTGTAATAATGTAGTATTATATTAGACTAGTCATATTATTTGATTTTATTTTTATAAGCATATCTACTATAATTATAATGATAGTACTAATTATTTTTGTTGTTGAGTTTATTTGTTTTAAATACGTGCCTCAAAAAGAAGAGATTTTGTGATTTATATATATAATTTACTATTGTTACGCCCACGGTTACGGTCGAGCTATGATGGAGTAACAGAGAGCTGTCGTTTCTCTGTCTCCGCACAGCAGGTTGGCGATCCCGCTGCGGCAGAGTCGAGCGAGTTTGTGTGCTCTCACGGACAGGTCAACGGCGTATGCCGCTCTTACTCTATCCTATGAGGCTTCGCTCGTCGGTCTCCTTTTAAGTCTAGAGATTTAACTCTACGGACTAAAGACGAGATTGTGCGATCAATTGAGGATGCGGAAGATGAGAGGTCGATTTAATCAAACTAATTGGATATAAAACATATTGATTTATTTGTTAAAGAGGTTTATTGTTACAAATTTTTTGTGTTAGGTGTGATGTCGTTGGGTAGTTAGGTGTGATATTGCGAATTTTACAATGAATCGGAGGGTCATCGCTCGGAGGCTAGAGAGAGGGAATATATATGTATGTATGCGTGTCACGAGAGTGTGTGTGAGAGGCCTCCGGCGGGAGGATTCTACAAATGTAAGTGTGTCGGGTACATGTGTAAGACGCCGATTTGTGGTCTAGCTACAGAAATCATTCTAAATCAATTTCTATTATCTCGTAAATTTCAGCGGAATTAGGGGGAAATATGGAATAAAAATGATGGACTGGGACTAAGCGGATGTCATCTAGGTACGGAAATTTGACAAGGAGGAGTTTTCTGGACGGAGTGGTGGATATCAAAGAGGTGGATATAAAAGAGGTCAGAAGGATCAATTTTTAAAGGATCAATTACAAAGGAGATTTTCTTTGGATCTGCTTTTCGGTAAGTGAAGACTAGTCTGAGGAAGTGTTGGAATTTAGGGTCGAGTAATGGGGTGGTCGATTGTGAGGAATCTGAAGATTCATCGTCCGCGGGTTCTTGTCCGGATGTGGAAGGTAGATTGGAAGAAGAGCGAGAAGGAGGTGGAGGAGTCGGTGCGGATTGCAGATCCGCGGAATTTTCTGTGAAACAAGAGGGCTCGGGGTGCGTTGGAGAGGGGGAGCAAGGAAGCAAAGGTGGTGGATTGTTCACGGGAGGATCGGGGCTTACGGGAGAGTAAGACGGGGATTGATACCACGCATCGTTGTCGTGGTGTGAGTCTGTATGTGTTTCTACGTGTACGTGATTATCATTATTAATATTTTGTGCGTGAGGACTTCCGCTTCCGGCGCGTGACGGTGCAGGCGTGGTGTAAGAGAGAGCGTAATTTGGTGTGTGAGTGTGTGGAGAGTGAAGGAGGTAGAGTGAGAGAAAGTGGAGTAAAAGGTGATTGTGAGGGCATAGAAGGTGGAAAAATGTGAGGGAGGTCTGGGGAGCATTAGGAGTCGAAGGGTGGAAGTCGGACAGCGAGTTGGGCAGAGAGAAAGGTTAGGCATAGATTAGGTAGCTAACAGAAGTGCAAGTCGCGTAGAAAGTTACTAGAAAAAGTCACTAGAGGAAGTTACTAGAAGGAAGGTTACTAGAGGTGCCTAGAGATATTGGGTAGCGGCGCGGGCAGCAGGGAGGATAGTGATCGGGGGACGTAAGAGTGGTAAGAATGAAAAGCGACGTTTTGTGGTAAGAATGAAAAGGGAACAAGAAAAAGCTGGAGGTATGGAGAAAAGAGTGAAAGAGGGAGAAGTGAGAGAAAGAAACAGGAGTGCGAGCGAGGGGAACATAGAAGAGTTTTTGAAGAAAAGAAAAAGAGAAATGAGGGGAGAGGAAAAGGATAATAAAGAAGAAGGGGCGTTTAGTAAAAGCAGGAAAACGCAGAGATCGCCAACGGGTCAGAAGGGGGGAGGAGAGGAAAGAAAGTCAGATAGGGAGAAAAGAGAATGGAAAGAGGAGATGAGAGAAATGATGGCAATATTGATGGAAGGGACAAAAGATGTAAGGAAGCAGGGTAGAAACATGAAGGAAGAGCTGGAGGAGTGGAGAAAAGATATGGCGGAGAAGGAGGAGATGTGGAGGAAAGAGAGGCAGGAGTTGAGAGATAGTATTACGGGTTTGAAGAAAAGAGTGAAGGAGATGGAATTGAGAGCGGAGAAAACAATTGAAGAGGGAAAGGGAGGGAGGGAAGGAGGAGGTAAAAAGAAAGAAGTTGAGATAGCAGAAAGAATGAAGGAGATACAGAGAAAATTAGAGAGAAAGGAGAGAAAGGATAGGAAAAGGAATTTAATTATTAGAGGGTTGGGAGTAAAAGAGGAGAAAAGGAGAGAAGCGGTGGTAGGATTATTGGAGAAGATAGGGGCAAAGGGAAAAGTGGAAGAGGTGAGAAAATTGATAGGTGGGGAGAAGGGAGAGAATCAGTTTGGGTGAGGATGGGAAAAGAAGACCAAAGAAGTGATGTGATGAAGAAGAAGTATAAGTTGAAAGGGAGCAGAAAAAGGATCATGGAGGACTGGACATGGAAGGAAAGGAAGATGAAAGGAAGGTAGAAGTTGGAGAAGATTGCGAGAAGGGAGATGGCGAAGGGGAGGAAAGTGGGGATGGGTTACGGTAGGTTAAGAATAGAGGAGAAATGGTGAAAAAATGAGATAAAAATGAGGAGGTGCTGATTGACGGAAGAGGAAGGGTGTGGAGAGAGGAAGAGATCGGGGAATCCAAGGAAGGGTAGAGAGAAAAGAAAAGACGAAAAGAAGTGGAAGAAAGAGAGAAGAGGAGCAGATAGAGCGAGAGAGGGAGGAGAACAAAAAGAGGATCAAGAAAGGGGGAAGAGAAGGATGGAGAATGATGTTTTGAAATGTAGCAGGACTGGCAAATAAGAATAAGAAATTTTGGGAAAGCTTGAGGAGATGGGAGGTAATAGTACTAACAGATACATGGTTGGAGAAGAAATGATGGGAAAAGGTGAAAGGTAGATTACCGAAAGGGGTAAAATGGGGAGTTCAATGGGCAATAAAAGAGGGAAAGAGAGGAAGAGCAAAAAGAAGAATGTTAATGGGAATAAAAGAGGAGTTGGCAGAAAAGGGAATAAAAATTGAGGTAGGGACAGAGGGAGTGGTGTGGAGTAAGATAAGAGTGGATAAGGAAAAATGGAGAATTATAGGAGTGTATGTGTCTAAAGGGATAGAGAACATGACGAAGAAGATAAAGAGATGGACGGACGGAAAAGAGGAGGAGATAAGGCTGTTAATAGGAGAAGATTTTAACGCCAGAGTAAGGAGAGAGGAGAGGATTTGAAGGTGAGGGAAGTGAAAGCAGAGAAAGAAAGGTAAAGGATGGGGTGGTAAACGGAGAGGGGAGAAAACTGCTGAACTGGGTGGAAGAAAATAGATGGAGCATCTATAATGGATGCATGAAGGGAAATGAGAAGGGAGAATTTACGTTTACAGGAGATAATAGGAACTTGACAATAGATTTTGCAATTGGAGATGAAGAAACGAGAGAAAGAATAGAATGTATAAAGATTGAGGATAGATTTGAGTCCGACCCCGTGGAGATAAGGATGAAGGGGAGAGAACCAAGAAAGGAAGAGAAGAGAAGAACAAGGAAGGAATAGAGGGGGTGTTGGGATGAAGAAGGTAAAAAGCTTTTCAGGCAAAAGATAGGGAGTTTGGAGGATTTTGAAGGAAGTATAGAAGAGCAATGGAGCATCATGAAGGGAAAAGTAAAAAAGGCGGTGAAAGAGGTCAAGGAGGAAAAGTCAGGTGGAAAAATGCAAAAAGGGTGGTAGGATGAAGAGTGTAAAAAAGAAAAGAAAAAGGTAAGGAAAAAGTTAAAGAAGTGGAGGAAGGGTAGTTTAGAGAAGAAGGGATATAAAGATAGCAAAAAAAAGTTTTTGAAGTTATGTGAGAAGAAAAAGCGGGAAGAGAGAAAAAAGTGGGAGAGAAAAGTGAAAATGGCGAGAAAAAAGAATGAGGTCTGGAAAATTGTGAACAAGGAAAGAAGAAGAAGAAAGAGAACGAATGAGAATATTAAGCTGGAGGAGTGGAGAGATTACTTTGTCAGGATACTAGGAGGAGTAGATGGGAAGGTGGTAAGGGGGCTAGGTGATGGAAAGATAGAGAGAGGAGTAGAGGAGGAGATAGGAAGAAATGAAATAAGAAGTGCGTTAAAAAAGTTAAAGGAAGGGAAGGCGAGTGGCATTGATGGGATCCCAGGAGAGGTTTGGAAGTACGGAGGTGAGGAAATAGAGAGATGGGTAGGGAAATTTCGTAATTGGATATGAAAAGGGGAAAGGAAGGGCTAGAGGAATGGAAGGAAGGGATCATTGTGCCCATAATTAAGAAAGGGGAAGGAGAGAAGGTGGAAGAGTACAGAGGAGTGACGTTGCTGACATCATTATATAAAGTGTATGTGGCGGTTCTGGCAAAAAGATTAAACGAGGAGTTAGAGGGGAAAAGGATAATACCTCAAAATCAAACAGGGTTTAGAAAGGACATGGAGACCATAAACAACATTTACGCCATAAACTACCTGATCAACAGACAAATAGAGAGAAAAGGAGGAAAGATAGTTGCTGTATTCGTAGACCTAAAGGCAGCCTTTGACTCAGTGAACAGAGAGGTGTTACTTAAAGCTATGAAGGAACAAGGGATAAGGGAGGGTTTAGTGAAAAGGGTGGAACAGGTAATAAGGGAGACGAAATGCAGGGTGAGAGTGGGAGAAGATATGGGGGAATGTTTTTGGACGGCAAGAGGGGTCAGACAGGGCTGTCCGCTGAGTCCAATGCTGTTTAATATCCTTCTGGCGGATATGGAAGAAGAAATGGGAAGGGTGAAATGGGGAGGAGTTAGGCTAGGAGGGAGTAGGCTGTATACGTTAGCGTACGCAGACGATATGGTGATGTTAGCGGAAAAGGAGGATAAAATGAAGAGTATGTTGGAAAGACTAGAGAAGTACTTAGACAGGAAGAAAGTGGAGCTAAACGCGGAGAAGACAAAGTTGATAAGATTTAGGAAAGGAGGAGGGAGAGAGAACAAGAGAGACTGGAGATGGAAGAGCAAGAAGATAGAGTAAGTCAAGGAATTCAAATATTTAAGATATGTACTAAGAAAGAATGGAACACAGGAGGCACAAGTAAAGGATAGGGGGAGAAAGGCGGTGATAATGGGACAGGTTTGGAGTATTGGGAAGAGAAGGTTTGGAAAGAATTGAGGACGGAGATTATGGTTATTTGACAGGTTAGTTTGGACGGTAATGGGATACGGGGTAGAGATATAAGGGTGGAAAGAGAGGGAAGAGTTGGAGAGAATGGAAGAAAGATATCTGAGATGGATAATGGGAGTAGAAGGAAGGACGCCGTGGTACTTATAGTGAGAGAAGAATTACAAAGGGAGAAACTATGCTCAAGAGTGGGAAAGAGAGCGTGGGAGTATGAGAGACTTAAAGAGGGAAAGGAAAGCGAAATAGCGAGAAAATGCTGGGAGAAGGTGAAAGAGAGAGCAAAGAAGGGGAGAGGATTTTTGGATTGGGAAAAGAAAAGAATGGAGTTCTTTGAAAAGAAAGAGAATGGAGGAAGTGGAAAAATATATGGAAGAGATGGAAAGGGGAGAAAGGTGGAGTGGAGAGTGGGAGAAAAGAAAAAGGATCAAGCAAGAAGAGGAAAGATGGGAGAGGATAAATAGTTTGAGGTACAATAAATGGTACAGAATGGTTAAAGGAAAGGGAGTGCCGGAATATATCTGAAGAAAGGCTGGAAGGAGAAAAGGTGGGCAAGAGTAGCAAGATTCAGGATGGGAAATGAGGTAGGGGAAAGAAAGTATTGGGAGGAAAAGGAAGGGAAATTGTGTGTAGGTTGTGCTGGGAGAGATGGAATCATGGGAACATATCTAGGAGAAATGTAGAAGCTGGAGGGTTGAAGAGGGAAGCTGGCAGGAGGCGGTGAAACGGGTTTTGGGAGAGAGCGGTGAAGGAGAAGGATGGATGAAGGAATTGGAAAAGAAGAGGAGTCTGATAAAGGGAGGCGAGCTCGGAGGGGGAGAAAGGAAGGAAAAGGGGGAGTAAATGGTATGAGGAGGGAAGAGAGAATGGTGGAGTAAGAGAGTGAGTAGGGGAGTAGTTGGGGCGGAACAACGTGTGGGAGAGAGAGATGAAAATTGAAGGCGAGAGGAAGCGGAAACCCAAAGGGGGGAGATGTGTGTGTGTGTGGAGAGAGATGATGAGAGGGCGAGGATTTACGACCTCTTAACATCTCAACGGAGTAGGTTAGGTTAGATTAAGTTAGTTGTAAGTGTAATATTAAGAGAAGAAAAAGATTAGCTGTAAGGATTCTGTAAAAGTTTTGGGATTGTTTCTTTAAAAAAAGCCTTGAAAACCCGGTTTGCCGGAAGAGCAATAAACTATACATACTATACATACATATTTTGTGCGTGAGAGGTGTCTATGTGCGAGTGTGTCGGTGGATTTGCGTGCGCGTGCGATGAGGTTGTGTGTGTATCGCTGGGGTTTCTTATATTATTGTCGTTGTTGCTATCGTTTTCTAATGTCTGAGGAGGGGTGACGGTGGTGGGCCTGGTCGGCTCCGGCTCTTTTAGAGCAAGGGTAGCCGCGCGTCGTAATCTCTGGTTGCGCCGGCGGCGTCGGCCCTTTACTTCCGTGACACTCCTCTCCGGGGTTCCACTTAAATAATGTTGTGCAATTATGCTATTGTATTCTCTAGGCTTCGCGACCGTTTCCGGAGATGTTGAGCTTGTTTGTCTTTGTTGTTTAGGGAAGATTGAAAGAAGAAAAAAAAAGAATTCGGATACCACCCGGAACGGCTATATACCGTGAGTAGCTCTTCTGAAAAATTTGACTGCCACCCGGAACGGCTATATACCGTGAGTAGCTCTTTCGAAAAATTTGGATGCCACCCGGAACGGCTATGCGCCGTGAGTAGCTCTTCCGAAAAGTTCATGCGTCACCCAAAACGGCTATGCACCGTGAGTAGCTCTTTCGAAAAGTTCGGATGCCACCCGAAACGGTTATGCATCGCGAGTAGCTCTTTCGAAAAGTTCGGATGCCACCCGAAACGGTTATATATAGCGAGTAGCCCCTTTGATTAAACCGAATTTCTAAGTGCGTCTATGTATTTATTTACATTGACCGTTTTCTCGATTTCTCCGCAAATCAGTCGCAAAGTCGGGAGGTAAGTACGCGAAAAGTGGAACCTCCGTATGTATATATATATAATGATGTAGACTTACTACTCGGATGATTTCGGCTGTTGGGTCTCGTAGCCTCGTGCGGCTTAGCTGCTGGATGATCGGCGGCGGGTCACTTCGATCCGGAGCTGGCGTGGATGGCCCGGTCGACTTGTTCACTTTGTACACTTAACCTTTTTTTTATTGCGCACTCACTCGTCGTGAATTCACTGCGGCACTCCCGGGAAAATT